TATAAAGTAGAAAAAATGCCTGAAATTGGTTAAAATAAAATAATTCCGAAATTAAAGGCGCATGAATTCATTTGTAACAACGGTAGCAGTTACCTCTTCAGGACCGGCTATGCGCCTTTAATGAAATTTTTGGCCACAAGGTTCATAGGCGCCGGACAAGAATTTTACCGAACTTGAGAGCTCCGCCCACACTCGAATTTCCAGCTACAACGGATGCAGACAAGAGTAACAAGTTTCCCAAGAAACCTACACTGAGCTTTTTGTGCTTGTATTTCGTGAATCGTCTTGTTCAAGCTCTCCGTCGACATATCGCCGTTGTACTCCACGGTGTACCGTGCCATCCAATTGTCAACCACGTTTCGAGGATACACATCTTTCCCCCGTAGTGTAATCTGAAAAAGGAGATATAGAAGCTTAATAGAAGCGAATGGAAGCACTAGTTATGCTACACAATACTCACAGCCATTTTCGGATTCAGGTACAGGATTTCGAGATACTTTCTCAACGATAATTTATGTGGTGGCAAGTTGTCTCCGATATCCTGGATGTCCCATTTGTCGCCAGTGATGTTGATTTCAAGCTCACCACGAGGATCCCTTTGAAGCTTGCTGATGATAATCAGGGTTCCATGTTCACCTGGGATTTTATCAAACAACTGTTCAAACGATTCATAGCCTTCGACGCTCATGTACTGGTTGATAATCCCGCATTCATCGTCAAATCGTTCTGCATCTTCTATAGTCGGAACGTGTGCTTCTCCGTATTTCCACGAAGGCGATGGAATATACACCTTCTCATCGGTATTCTCAGCGCGAAGAAAGGAATGCGAAATGAAGACGGCCGTTTCCTCATCATCCTTTTTGGTCAGCAAAAGAATGTCTCTTCCGATGTAAAGACCTCCCGATTTGAGTCCCATTCCGTATCGACCGATTGCGTTGTCGACTTTGTTGGAAAAGCCGAATTTGACGATGTTGAGTGCTTCGCTACGAGTCATTCCATCGCCATCATCAAGGATTTCGATTCTTTCGTTGTTTGGTGTATCATAAACTTCGATGCTACAATTCTTAGCATTGGCGTCATAGGAGTTGTCGACGAATTCGGCAATTGCAGATTGCGGTGACTGGTGAACTGTACTGAAAGAATTAAACAATATTTTAAACGAGATCGCAGTCATTTAATTACCTGTTGTTTAGCAAATGTTTCAAAGTCAGAGATGCCGAATTGAGATGGTCCAGTTTTCGGAACCCATTCATACTGAAAATCAATTGATTTCTATAATCAGCAGTTGTTAAATATAGGTTTTCACCGAACGAAAGTGAGATATAATTTTTGTGTTTTTGACCGGCGGAGGTGAATATTGCCGCTGAAAATATACCTTAAAACCTGTAATAGAAGGGCTCTGGCTCCCTTCTGAATGTGTTGTTCAAAATGGAAAATATATGTACTTTTCGGTCAAAAATATTACCGGAATTTTTATAATTTCACAGAAATTCGCTCAACTTTTGTTGAAATTGATAGATTTTCAGGAATTTTGAACGAGAATTCACCGAATTTTTCGATTGAAAATACTGATGAAAATGACCGGAAAAATAGAAGGGTTCCTGTAATAGAAGGGGGCAATTACTCTTTGACTACACCACTCTTTGACTACACCTACTCTTTGACTCCACATTCTAAGAAAGAAAGAAGAAAGAAAGAAGAATTTGAGCCTAAGCCTATAATTTTAAACAAAAAAACTGACAATTCCAAAAATACATCACAGTGAAAAAAGTACTGAAATTCGCGAAAATCAGCGAAATTCTCACTTTTTTTCGCTGAGATTTCCAAATTTTTATTATTTTCTGTACAAATCAAAGGCTTAGGCTGAAACGGTTACCGGAAAACTGGTGTTTTAGCCTAAGCCTACAATTTGAGACAAAAATCGGAAACTCCAATAAATTCAGTC